GCTGAAAAGCCTGCTCCTCGAGTTGGCGGTACAGCTGCTCAAGGACTTCGTTCGGTCACTCGAAGGGGAGGTTAAGGCAGGGTTAACGGTTAACAGATAGGCATCAAAGGTTACCGTAGAACAGCGTCGCTAACCGGCGAGTAGACGCAGGCGAGTGGTGATTGCAGTAGCCGTAGCGTCTGCGCCCTAATTTCGTCCTACCTTGGTCGGAGTCGGTCTAGGGGAGTATGCACTGGCGGCATGGTTTGCCGTGGCTCTTCCACTCGTAGAATAGAGAGGGCCGGCTACAGCTACTAAAAATAGCGTGTTCCTACTACGTCGACTGTTTCAAAAGAAAAAGAAACGAAAAAACATCCCGTAAATAGAACGGCACCTGAACCCGCCGTGTTTGAAGGCGCAGACGAGGCAGAGTGATTTGCCGCTGTCGTGGAAGTTGGACCACATGTTGTTTCACCGATAGGGTTTCTTGGAATACCATCGGTTCTGCCGTTCCCTAGAGAAACGGAAGGAACGCTTCGTCTAACTCGAGAAGGAGGCACTCGTGGTGGCTCTGGTGAAACTCTCGCGGCGGGTGGCGGCGTCGTGCTACTCGAAGGGGCTCCCAATGGCGCTACTCGTCTAGAAGGCGGACCCGAAGTGTAAGTCGAAGGGCCATGTCGTCGACCCGTAGTTGTTCCCATTCGAGTAAGCCACCTGGTTCCCGAAACTATAAGGTCTACGGCAGCCGTTCCTACAGACGTTCGACGAGGTTCTGCTCTAGCTGGCCGAGCCAGACGGCCAGTTCCACCGACGGAACCAGTTGCTATGGCACCCGTGCGAGTACCGCGCGAGCATGTGGAGACGGCCGTTCGTGGCGAGAGAAGAACCACGGTAGAAGCCGTGGCCTTGGTTGCCGCGGATGTAACTCTTCTGCCGCTCGTAGTGGTTCGGGTAGGGCCCGCTCATGCTGTTCAGCTGGCCGCTTTACCAGTAGTTGTGGCTCACCCCGAGGAAGCTGTTGCTCGAGTTGCAAGAGGGCTGCTGGCAGACCCTGCGCCGCGAGCTGGCCCTCTCACAGTTGGGCCCTTAGGTCTACATGCTCTTCGCACACAGACCGTACAAGGACCCGCTCTAGCACGCTGACCGGTAGTTGCTGTACTACTTCCTGCTGCTCCGCAGGGAGAAGGCGCTGTGTTTGAGATCGAAGTTACTGACCAGTTGTTGCTGTTTGCAGTCGGGGGTCAGGCCCGAGGACAGGGTCACCCCTGACCTGTGCCGGCACGACAGGCAACGGCGGCGCCTGTTGTGCGGCCTCGACAGCTGGTAGGCTGTCCTCGACCTCTTGTGCGAGGTCCACATGTGCGGGAGCGACCTCCTACGTGTCCGTAAGTTCCGGCAACGACCGCGGCAGCAAGCGTCTCGGCGGTCCGATCGCCGGCAGCGGTAACCGCGGTAACAAGAGGTCAGGCCTTTCGACCTGCTGGGGCTCCTTCTCTAATAGCTGTAACCGCAGCTGCCGTCGGAGCAGCTCGTGATGGGGAAGAAGTCCCTGTACTAGATGCTCCGAGACGCGCGGTAACTCCCGTAGCCGGGGTCGTCGCGTCTGTTCTAAGCGTAGCCGTAGCGGTTCCTGCCGTCGCCGCAACCGCGGCGGGACTAACGGAACTAACGCGTCTTCTACCTCTTCGGGCCGCTGAAGGAACGGCTGGACGCTGCCCTGTAAGCTGCTTCTGAAAGAGACAACTGGGCGACAACCTTGCTCGTGTGCTCGGCAAGGCCCATTGTGAGGACGCGCGACGTTGGCGAAGAGAGTGCGAAAGGCGGGTGTCGGGGGCAGATGCGCTCGTCGCGGACGGTGAGTTGCGAGGTCAAGGAGGACAGCGGCCTGAGAAGTGCGGGAGGGAGATGGAGGAGAGAGAGGAGCTGGCACAACCACGGCGCCTGGAGGAGGGCGCAGGCAGAGTATATCTTGGCTTCGGCGGCCACGAGACGGAGCTAGCAGTTGTTCCCTGGGCGTTAGCGAGAGCCACAGTCGTGTGTGCGTTCAGGTTCGTGGGATTAGGTATGATGCCAGCTGCGGGTTTGCAGCTCGACTGCGTCCAACGACGGCCACAGCATGACGGCCAAGCACAGGGATCAGCCCCAGCTCTGGGGACGGCGCGGGGCGTTTGGCCGAGCTGCTGGATGCTTAGCGCAGCCTCCCAGGCCTTGCTCGCACCATTGAGCGTCTCCCGCTGCGGCCGGCGAATCACGGCGTGGACGAGCCTCGCCCAGTTGCCAGGCGAGTCTCTCCACCCGTCACACGCCGGAGCTGCTCCAGACTGCCGTGGGACAACCGGATTCTCCGCTGACTATGATGACGGTCGCTGGAAGGTTCCTGTCCCAGCGTTCCTTGGTTTCCCCAACGGGGCTCGGCCTCCACTGAGGAGGAGGCTGTTACGTCGAGATGGAGTAAAGGCGGGCAAGGGACGGGGGGGTTTTCTTTCCAGAACACCAAGAGCTGGGAGCCCCGAGATGCCGGGAAGCGAAACAGACGAGACTTACCAAGGACAGCATCAACAGTACGGATAGCAACGGCCACGCACGATGGACGCTGCGTCGCCTGCTATTCCTTCGCACCACCACCCTCCTCTCCCTGTCGCCGTCGCCATCGCGCCACAGGGCGCCGAGGCCGTGAACCTTGACCGTATTGTGTGCAGCTAGCAAGTAATTTAAGCATTCGGACCCCAAAACCCGGCCAAGCTTCCCCAATTTGGGTCATCACTCACAGTACATGCTCCCACTTACACCCTCTCGCTTGCTCTGCTCCTACCGGGGATGTCCTCCGTCCAGAGCACAGAAGCAGATGAAAACGGCTCGCGGGCAGATTGGGCGTGGAGAGACAAACGGGCATGGAGCCACCCGCATACGCAGCTGCGGAGCGAATGTGGCCCAAAGCTGGAGACGCTGAGGAAAAGGGCCGTATACAGAAGACCGAGGATTGCGTGTAAGATAGGTGTACCTCCGTGCTCCGGGCTGCGGACTGGGTACCAGCAGTGTCGTGGTGCTCTCCTGCTTTTGCTGCGCACACAAAACGGTGCGAGAACCGCGCGATTTTTGGCTCTAGTTGAGCCGGCGACTCAGCGTCCCTTTCAGCGGCGTTCGTCAAGTGGTTCTGCGGACTGGCCCCTGTCGCCCATCTAATTTCCCCCCCAAATGGGCCGAAGGTCGCGGGATGCAGGCACCGCGAGCCGCTGGGACGTTGAAACCGCCAAAGCCGTCCTCCTGGTCGATCACGACGCTGCAATGGCACGGCCAGCTGCAAGGTTTCGCCGAATAGCCTTGCTGTTCAAGCTCGGGAACCCTGACGTGCCGCAGACCCTCGACAACCTCGGCCACACTGACGAAGGATGATGCAGTTTGACCTCACTGCGTAGAATTGGCGAGGAACTGGTACAGGGGGAGACGTCCAAACAAAGATGACGCAGCGAAAACCTGGTTCGAGTCCGAGTCCGAGGGGATTCGCGACTTATTCGTGTGTTTGGGCGATGCCGATGACTTCGACTGGAGAGATGGGAATCAGCAGCCAGAGAGTCGAATTCTCGCCAGACCGACACGTTGATGGGCAAGCCTTTGCTTAGGTAGATCAGGGGTCTTGTTGATTCAATGTCGATCGGCGGGATCTCCCAAGGCAAAGGGGGCCTGATGCTCGATTCACACAGAGTCGCGGACGAGAGAATGAGCTTCAGCAACGCGAACCAAGAGGCGTCTCACTTGGGGCCTTATATCATCATTGAGGGCACAGAAAGATGGAGAAACCTCCCCCAACGCGAGCAACCAGGCAATTGGCGCGGGG